GTGCATGAACCTTTAGTATAGAAGTGATTTTATATAAAGACACATGTGATCTTTATATAAAGACCACTCGAATACTATGAGGATGACTTCATCAGGGATGAAGTATGCATCCAAGTTTAGATGAAGACATAGAGCTTCATCAAGGCCATAGTCAACCCTAAAAATCTTTGACTAACGTACCTGTCTTTGAGTTGGCACGCAATATCCAACGTGTGGGAGCTTCTATTGAATCTGGTTGCGCATGCCCATGACGTCAAATCTCTATCGAAGCATAAAAATCCATGTTCGTGACGTGAATGGTGGCTCCAGTTGAACCAAAATCTTATAAATTGTTCACGAGTGTTTTAAGCAGTTCAAAAAACTCGTAGATCGTGTTTTATCAGGTATAAATGCACTCGGCTACGCCTCGTGCTTTTATACCTGATAAAACACTCCTACTCGTTTTTTAAACACCACATATAATATAACATAACATAACATAATATAACATAACATAACATAACATAACATAATAATATACACCGGAGACATGAAAACTGAGACCGAAATGAATTGTGGGATGTAAGCTGTAAATTGCTTCGTGTTTTTAAATAAAAGTTTACAACAAGTTACATATCTAAATATGCCAAGTTTAAAACCATCTTAAAATAATCACGAAGAAAGTGCTGCCGTTGTACTCATTTTTCAAATAGTTGTGTTCAATCTAAAGCGCTCTAATGACTACCATATGTAGTCCATTTTATTGGGTCAAACCAACCAATGCAGGCTTACTTTCTGATTAAATAAAAACGAGGGTCCCGCGAGTCACCAATACTGCGGAGGAAAGTAAATGGATCACTGTGGACGTAATGAAACCCTTTCAGTGGCCACCCTAAGTGCCTACTCTTAATACTAACCAACTCTCATAAATTCATAACTCATTGAAAGTGCTTTTGATTATATGCATTCGAATATATAAGGGCGATAGCTATATGAATCATAAATCATATAAATAAAAAATGCTTGAGGTAAACTGCTAATTATCAACCCAAAAACTCCTGGGCACAGTAAAAAATAACTAGAAATGACAACGGAARGGAGTCTTACTAAGCAAATTTCGTTTGAGAGAAAAACGTTCGGCGATAGCGTAAACTTTCAACTGCATTTATTCGAAACAGGCTATTATCCAATCACAATTGTCTGTGGAAGCCATTTGTGGCTAAAATTGCCCCTCAAAAACTAATATATCTTCCATGTCAAGCCAATATTCCTTCAATTAGCTTTACCTTTAAAAAATGGAATTATATAAGTGCGCCCGCAAAATAGCAAACAAAAAATTAATGGTAAAAATACAAAGAACAAAAGACAACACAACGGTAGGGATTCCGTAGCAAAGTTGGCGGAATGTTTGCCGATTACTGGAACCTTCTCCTAAATCCGAAACGTCTAATAAAATAACTTCTCGGCACTACTTTGAAAATCTCTTAGGACGTAGKTTAATTCTAGCAAACAATCAGCGTTTTTCGTAATGCATAGCTGTGCATGCAAGGCAAACTGAAATTGCGTCGAAGTGTCTGTTTTTAAACGAAAACGCATCAGTACTGATGTAAAATCGGTAAATACTGAATGGTTTAATTTGTATATCAAATTTGCTTAGATATACCGATCTACTTAACAATTCCAATTCCAATTCCAATGTTCCAATTTTTCCGATTTTTCTCTTTTTCCAATCAGTCTTTCATCCTGAACAAATTAATCTAAGTGCGGCCGAAAATCTGAAAAATCTTAGCGAGCTTGAACGGAATATGAATGGCAAAAAATGTTTACTGATTCATAAAAATTAATGGTAACTATGATGTCCAGTTGACATAACCTACCTTGAACAAAATAGTTGACTTGACATAGCATCATCCAGTACGAAAGAAGACTCGTTACTCTTCGATGCATCACGATATGCATTGCACACCACCTTGTTAAGAGAACCAGCAGTTGAGCTTCATAAATTATCGCTTCTTTTAGAACAGCTGAAGAGATAATTCACATCTTGCTGACAAATCATTAGTCATGACAWGATTCAAGATCGTGCACGTCTTACTATGAGGAAAGCTGATCTGTTTACACAATATAATAAGTAATTAGCAAAGTTTGTACTTTTCAATTATAGAATAGGATTTTAATATCTGGAGTCGTCAATTAATGAATCATATTTTTGAGAATAACCCCATCTCGTACCCAGAGCCTGCGTTTCTTTTGGCCTGCGGTAAAGAACGAGGGCTCTGGCATAATCCATTTTTTGGTGCATGCATGCGCAATTTTCCTCAAGTGAAATATAACTACCAATRAAAATCATGCTTTAAAACAGAGTTTTGTGTTTACTCCCGGTCAAAACAAACATTGGAAATCGGGAACTTTTTTTTTAAAGCCCTCGTTCTTCGACGCCGGCCAGAAGAAAAGCAGGTTTTGCGTAAAGATAAAATAGTTAAATAGTTAAGATACAAGATTTATAATAACTATAAATAAAGACTTGAAAGAGATTCTTCTGTAAAAGACACAAATATTTGAATGATGTAATCCCGGTTTATGTTTAGGCTAGCTATTTTTTCTACCGGATTTGAAGCGCAAATCCAAAGTGGTGAAATAAGAGAATATGCCGATTCCACTGTGTAAACAATAATTATTATAGAATAACTTTTTCATCAAGTGTCAATATCTACTTGAGAGTCAATATCTAATAGCATCACAATAATACATTATATTACCTTTAAAAGGGTTGACTAGGATAAGAGCCCAGCTTTTACGCCAAGGGATGTTAGGATCAGCTCAYAAGTGCTCTTCCGAGAACATGGCACTTTAGCTCCTCCAATTTCGAAACCTCGATTGCGCATTAAAAGGCATTGTAAAACACAATATAGACCCCTTTTTTGGAACTAGACGATCTTTTATTAAGGTGATAATCRCTAAAAGCTCAAAAGCAACTTGCGTGTTTAAGTGAAATTTTTGACTAATAAGAAAGAAAAAGGTATCGAAAATCCTATTTTCTCTTATGCCGCAGTACCCTTGACAGTCAACACTTCTTAGCTATCGACTTCTRAAGTCAACTAGTGTGCTAGAAATGGGGAAAAAATTACCAAGATAAATGCCTACATTCCAATAAGGCAAATAGAGCTGTAATTCAGTTCTTTTCTATTTTTTTGTGATACCAATAAATCACAATGAAAACTAAGTTGGTGATAAATTATCGTGACGTAATACAGGGCATCGAGAATCCTTCGTTTATGCTGTTTTATTCCCAMTAACGTAGAATTGGGCTTTATTTTTAACTTTGTCTAATTTCTCATTCATTTTGTTTTCAGCTTATTTACTTTTCGATACAAATAAATCACGAGTAATAGAAACCTAGTAACATTTTTATAGAGTGCTCACACTAAATCCGTGAAACAAATACTAATTTTTAGTACTAAATAGTGATACTCAAACAATAGAAAACAAAGGATTCTGTATGAAATAGTACTATTTAGTACTATTTAATGTTCACGGTTTTAATGCGTGCATTCTATCCATTCAAAAATTAATGCTAAGTTTAGTATAATTTTTGAAGCATCTTTTGTGAAGTATTCAATACTGCTTTATTTGGTTGGGATCGACAACAAAAGCCCACACAATATCTTTTCAAACTTTACAATAAATCCGGCACTACCCTTGTAGGGAAAATTATTTTTCTTTGAATAAAGCCTAAAATCTTTAATTCTCAAGCCCACCCATTYCTAAAGACGCTGCATACGAAGTAAGAAACCTTGCAACTTGCTTAGTTTCCAGTAGCAATCGAACCTCTTTCAACCAATCATTAGCAACCTTTCGCGGTTCACCCTTCAGCTGGTTGACCAATCGGGCGGCTACTTCCAGGTCCCCTTTGCTCACGTAGTATTCGGCGCGAGCAAGAAGTCCAAAAGTGTCCATATTTTCAACATCAATCAATTCTCCATCCTTACGAGGATCAAATTTATCGATAATAAAGAAAGRCTGAATGTAAGAGAGAAAATAAGTCCAAGGACCTTTGGTTTCTTCACCAACCATCGCTACTCGTCTGCAGGACTTTAAAACTCCAGGGAAGCGAGAGGCAAGGTTTTTCTCGTTGTAAATACCTCTCTCTAGAGCTTCTTCCGGTACAGCTGCTAGTACCCTAGACACAGCAGTATCATTGGGCGCAGCCATTTGAATGGCAGTTACTTCGGGAAAAAGAGGTTTAAGTGCCTTTACTCCGCTATCGATGGCTGACTGAAGAGATTGACAAGCCACAAACAAGTCTTGCGCTGTCTTGTTGGATTTCTCAATATCTGCACGGCTATCCATTGCAGCCTCTATACCACGCAGCCTTGACAAAGCTGCTTTGAGCTTATTGCTGTATTCTTCTTTCTCTTCGTTTTGTTTTTTGGTTAACTCCTGGTCGTACCTAAATAAATTGATTAGAATTTATAAGTATCCTCAGATAATGAGATGTAAAGACTTTTATCAGGTGATTGAAACCTTGCGATATAACGCAAATTATAAATTATTTCATACTTTATTAGATTGATGGAAGAGACTTAGTGTGCACCATCCAAAACATCTATGCTTCACATCTCAAAAGAGTAATCTAAAATRAATGTTTTAAATCTCGCATGCGCGCGCGTTTTCTATTTCCTCAATGGTGAGCTAAAACTTGAAACTCCAAGCTCACCGCTTGTGTAAAAAACATAATGGCAGGCAATATTCAATGTTTGTCTGCTTTGTCAAGTTGATTAGAGCGTTTTTAAAAAGATCTTTACAGGTTAGCATTGTTACCTTTGCTGTAGTTCCTGAGACTGTACTCTCAGTACTTCTGTTAGATGATCACTATATGCTGCAGCTTGTCTGCGCAGTTGTTGGCGTAGGTTTGTTTCGTGTTCTAAATCTAATTCAGATTCCTGGGTAAAACAATTAAAAGAACACTTTAAGGCATTACAGGACACCAAGAATTCATACAAACATTTTTTTTAACCCAGTCATTTAAAGATCTTCAGTTGCTTATTCAAAAAGTGAGGGGAAAAGTGGGTGTCGCCGACTTGATTCTCGAGTTATAAAGAGATCGTATTAGGGGGTAATTCCAATTATTCGCATTGATTTTGTAATATACAGTCAGTAGTCAACAGCAGCAAAATTTCAACACGACTGAGAGAAAAATCCCAAATATCCAAAAAGATCAAAGTACCCTTTTCTTCTGTGAAATGTGAAATTCAGCCCTCAATTTCTCCAGTTCTTGTTTTATTTTAATTTCAGCCAGTTTTGCATCTTCTTTGCGTTGTACACTGAGAACCTGTTCCAGCCTCTTTCGTTCTTCTTCACGATGACTGGCCAATTCTTGCTTTAGATGTTCTATTCTTTTGCATGCATAGGCCAACAGAACTGCGTTGGACCTGAATGGATTAACAGCATTAATGGACCTTCTTAAAATTGTCATAAACGCAGGGCTAACACGGAAATACAAAAGAAATCACAATTTTTCTGGATGGAATTTGTGGTATTTCTTTTGTATTTCCATGTTAGCAACCTGCATTTATGACAATCTTAAGAATTGTGCATTGACAAGATACAGTACAACCTTTATTTCGAAGTTTAATAACCACGAAATACAATCAAATGCACACAGTAAACCATTAATAGGTACTATCTAAAATAGAAAATAGAGGATTTTGCACTGTTTTTCGCTAATTAAATCTAAAATTTTGTTCACACAATTTTGTTTGCTCTCTTACTGCAATTTTCATAAACATGCAAACTGTGTCTGCAAGCTGAAACTTTGTTTTCGCTGCCGTCAATCAAACCTAATCAGTCAGTACCTTTTATATTTTTGATTGATGGCAGCGAAAAACCAAATTTCAGTGTGCAGCTTGCAGGTACAGTTTGCATGTTTATGAAAATTGCAGTAAAAGAGCAAATGAAATTGTGTGATCAAAATTGCAGTAAAGCAATCACCCAAAGACCTGCTAAAAGTACTGTATAGTCTAGTGATTATATTATTAGAAGATTAAGGATAGAGGAATAATAGAAAGAAGTTACATGTAAGATAAAGATAATTTTCAGGAAAGGCAAAATCAGGAAAAAAAGGAAGAAATCCATATCAGTAGCAACTATTTTGACTTAAAAAAAAACCAAAAAAACAACAACAACAACAACAACAACAAAGCGAAACAATTACAAAAAGTTTGGTTTAACATACTTTGCTTCGTCAGCTTTCTTTCCTGTGCCTGTGGTTTCTTTCAAGACCCCTGGCAAAACTTCCTCAATCTCTTTCTTTAGCATGTGTTTGCTTTCATCTAGAAATTTCTGATGCTGCTGCAACAATGTGTCTTCTGACTCGGCCTTCTGTAGTTCAGATGCTATATTTGTCACTTCATAAGTTATTCTTGCTGCCTGTTCAGAGGCCTTCAATCCAGCATCCTTGGCTCCTGAAGCCTCAGCTTCTTTGATAACAGCATAGAGCTTTGCTATTTCCTGGTTGACTTTAACTTGAGATGCTTTGCCTTCACTGATAGCAGTGTCGGCATCCTGGAATCAAATTATATTTACAGTTTCACTGCTACAGTCTGTATGTAAGAGTAGATTTTTCTTACTGTTGCACCTTGAAGCACAACTTACATTAATACCTCTTCTTAAGCATTCACAGTAAACAAAACAACAACAATCATAAAAAGAATGAAATGGCTTGATATAGGAAGGGACTTTTTTTTTGTGCAGGTACAACTTAAAAAGAAAAAATACTGTACATGTCTTGAGATGGGAAAGATTATGCTTCCATCTTGCCTCTTTTGCACCAAGCAACTTTGGTTTAACTGTGTAAAGTTGCATCAAGTTTAATGTTCAGTAAAAGAAATAAAATAGCACTAATAATGATACGTCTTGAAATGGAAAAGATGACTAGGCTTTCATCCTACCTTTTGTGCATCAAGTACGACTTTACTCAGTTCCTTCATGCTTCCTGCATCTTCCTGCTCCAAAGCATTCTTCAGTAGCTTGATATGGGATAGAACCGAGTCTGTAGCTTTTTGCTGTGCATTCACAGCTTCTTGTGCACTGTTTTTTAAAACTAACAAAGCTTCTTCAACCATTATTTCCATAGCTGTTTGGTCAACCATGTCATTCAGTTCCTTTTCAGTAAGGCTGGTGTCCTGATGGACAGAACCTTCTTTTGCTTGGAGTTTGATATCCTCTAAAATAAGAAATATGAGGTGATGATCAACTGTAATTCCAGGGGTGAATTTGAAACAAAGATAATTGCTAGTTTAAAAAAGCAGGCAAGTAGGAAACCATAGCTACGATGAATTGTTCTAGTTTGAGTCAGCATACAGGGAACTTATCAGCACATTATAACCAAGTAGATCTATTCTGACACCTGTCTATATGAATGTATATTACATGGCTGTATTTTACCAAAGTTATTCACTTACCAGTTGTGCTGTCTACCTCTTTGATTACTGGAGGTGGTTTTGGCTTACTACCCTTTGCTATAGTTTGATCTACTGCCGACACTGTAGGTTGATCTACAGCAGACACAAAACTAGCAACAGAGTCTTTTAACTTATCAGAAACACTCTCCTTGGCTGACTTTTGTTCAGTTTTAGGGGTTGGTGCTGGGGGTTCTTTTGGTACTTGTTTAACTTCATCTTCCACAACTGATGCAATATCTAAGTCTACCGAGGAGACTGTTGCCTGATCTAGGGATGACAACGATGCAACATTTTTCTGCAAGAAAAAGAACAAAAATTAGAATCAATCACAAAGCAAAATAGTTTAGCTTAATGTCACAATTTCCACTTACCTTTGCATTAGGTTTAACACCACCTGGCTCTTTAGGTTTTTCATTTTCTTTTTGTTTTACATCTATAAATGGCTTTATTTCAGTGTATTTAGGTTTAAGCTCTTTACCATTGTTATTATTGTTTTCTACACTAGATTTTAATGCAGGACCAAGAGCTAGGTTAAATGTTTCTATAATTGGAAGGCTTTGGTCAACAAACTTGCGGAAGTCTTCATTGTAGCTGTAGAGAACAGTTCCACCAACAAGTCCACCTCCAGTGATCAGAGCTATAGTCCCAGCTATCTTACGTCCAAGAGAACTAAAAATATTGGAAGGTTAAAGATGTTATGCAAAAGCACATTCTTAGTATTCAAAATATAGGCATTATGCACATAAAATATAGATGAACCAGATTAGTTTTTGGCTTATATACAATAGATTTTTGGTGGAATAAGACAAAAAAACAACAACAAACAAACAAACAAAACAAACGGCATTGTGGGTCTCGTTAATTCGAAATAAAAAGTAAAATTTATATGAAGCAATTAACTCTCTACATGTAGTTAGTATATTGTGTCAGATGGAATACACTAAAAATAGAAGAAATAATTATTATTAGTAAAAATACGCGGGTGATTATAGAAAATCTTGTGCGCTGATTGGTCAAGAAACTCACACTATCACACGATAATCACCTCGAGCGAAAATCTGCTGTTACTTGGAAAAAATGCCTTTTATCTTCTTTTTTTTGGAAGAATCACCTATGTATTTATACTAAAACAATTATTTTCCTCAGGCTCAGTGATTATTGAGGAATATTTACCAGATCGCCGCTCGAAGACTTGCTTCTCAGTAAATATTCCCCCGATAACCACTTCGCCTTCGGCAAATAATTGTTAATTAATCCTACTTTAGACAATCTCACTATGACCTACAATGCACTTTGGTCTTGGAATGCACTATTCGGTACTGTATGCAGTATTCAGTACAAATTTTATCACAGATAAATGCATTTCATTATAGTTTTCACTGACAAATCTGTGGCCCTCCATAATAGCTACGTGCTAATCATCTGATATCAAACCAACACTTGGAAACTACTGCAGTCCTCACTATGGATGAGTGGAGGAAGCAGTTATAAAAGCTTTGTACCATCATGTGATGGCAGCCATAAGAGGCACAACAATAGAGTCTTTTTTCCATGGGAATACGAAATTAAAAAAAAAATGTAAATTAGGATARATCAGATTCAATATTGTTCTGTGCCTCCTGTCATGGCTGCTATTATCCTGCATGCACTGCATCCTTTTGCTAATTCCTTTGCCGAAGTTGCTGACACTCGGGGTATAATTGTGTCGTTACGGAAATCATTAAGCTTAAGAAACTAAGCTTTTAAACTCTTACTTGTTTTTCTTTGGGGTATTTGTGGACAGAAATCTTTTTGCAGACAATGGAGGACGGCCAGGTTTTGTATAACTTGTACAAATTTGGAATGACGTCTAGAAAAAGAAACACCAATTTAAACTTGAAAAAAATAAGAAAATATAATATATATTGAAATATAAGAAAATATTGAATGCAAAGCGTTTTAGTTTATGACCAGGAGCTATAAAATATACCAAGACATGGCCAGACATGGCAACTAGTTTGGAAAGGCCGTAAAGCATAGACGCAAGAAAGACTCAAAAATCAAGCAGCAAAAACTAAACGTGCAAAAGCAATATATACCTTAGAACATGGCAAGGTACTTGACACACACTTAAGCCTTAGAAGCTGGGTATTTTTGCCAACGCGAAACATTATTGTGCCTGAATTTCGTTCATGAGTCGACCCAAGATGGCGGCTTGCAACGTCATGGTGCCCAGGCTTCTGAAAGGAAGAGAGAAAAATAATAAATCTTAGAGAGGGGAGGGTTAAATATAAGATAATTATCATAAAATTTAATTCCTAATATTCCTCAAAAATAACTCATAGTTCATTTTTCCTATTCCTTGAAAGCATCTTGTCTTTTTTATAAGGTTTTTAGCGAAAAACCAAAGTGGTATTCACGCTGTAAGCCTAAAACTACAAGCAAGACTAACCCTCTCCCCAAGAGTAAGTTATCGTCGAAAGATCTGATATTTGATTGGTTGAAATAAAATCTGGCGCGAAAAATGCCATGTGCCATTTGTTTTGCAGGAGAAGGTAGAGTTAATTCAAACTTTGCTTTTGTTTGGTAAGATTTTGCCTCAAAATATCTTTAATAAGAAGCCGAAATGCTAGGCCAGAGCAAGATCAGTGCTTTCTTTAACACACCAAGTCCAAAAAGATCGGCTGATGATGCTGAAGGCAACGTAAAGTCACCTCCAAGAAAGCTTCACAAGGTCGACACTAACTCACCCGAATACAACAACAATTCACCAGAATTATCACCTGAACAAAAAGCCATCATTGCTAAGAACAGAGAAGCTGCGAAGATAAAGCTGTTGTCGAAAAAGGGACCTCAGAATTTTGGGTTGTCTTGGAAGAGAGCTTTAGCTGCAGAATTTGATAAAGAATACTTTCAAAAGGTTTGTAACCACACGAGTTTGAGTGTATAAACCCTTTTGCTGTAGAAATATGTTAGACTCGATTTCGTCTTTCCTGTGAATAAACACAAGCCTAAAGCTGTTTGTTATCAAAATCTTTTTTTTTTTCTCCAGCTGACATCATTTGTAGCAAGCGAGAGAGCAAGAAAGACAATATACCCACCAGGCAAATAACAGTTGTATCTATACTACTATAGGGAAGGGGAGGGGGTACTATTGATGGGTTGCAGGCATTCCCAATAGAGTTAGAAGACAATAGCATGGTGGCCATTGTGGTGCCGTTAACAATGGATGATAATGAGAAATCTTTTGTTAAATGGCACCAACGCTCCCCCGAGAGGCCGCGATGACGTAATGTGCAATCGAAGAATATATGTACCAGTTGTGGTACGGGAGGGGTGGGGTGGGCTGGAGATTCAGTACTTTTCTCGAACAAAATCGTATGCTATATTCAATATGTATTTTCCATTTCCCTTTAAATCTAGAAAAGGATGTATTTTCGTGGACACAGTTTTGTGACATTGATGATATTAAAGTAGTCATTATAGGACAAGACCCTTATCATGGTCCAAGACAGGCACACGGTAAAAAGATGCTAGTTAAAACTTTTTGTAACCCCCATAAACTTCAGCTGTGTAGGTTTTTCAATAGCTTTCTGTGACAAGCTCATACACTTCAGATGTGAAGACTTTTTGGCTTTCAGATGTGTTGGTTCGTAGCTTTTACCAATCAATAATTACTAAATCCGATTGCTGTAATAAATTGTGATAGAGTGGTTTTCATAAACCCATGAAATATGACTGTGTAACCTATGACAAATTAGTGGACCCTAATTTCATTGTGTTCTTTTGTTGTTATATCACTATTAAACATTAACTAATGGTATCTGTTTCACTGGTTTATGAAAATTGCTCTAAAAGTTATGCCATAGACAACCAAAACATGAGAAAACCTGACAGATCTGAAATTGCCTGGTTGTAAAAAAAAAAAATGAAATGCACTCAAATAGAATGCAATTAATGGCATGCTTTGTAATCATCCATATCTACCTAACATCTTAAGCTGTGATAAGTTGAACATTGCTTTGATGTTTTCAGGACTTTGCTTTAGTGTTCAACCAGGAGTTCCTGCACCTCCAAGGTAATATGAATATACTAAATATGATATTACAAATTTTTTWAAATCTGAAATTGATGATCAATGTAATGATTCAGTAGATCAGGGATGTAGCAAGATCCTGGTGGTAGGGTGGTGACAATGTATAATTGTCCTGTCAAAACACATGAGAGGGGGGAGTTGTGTTATTCACTGATTATGAGCAAGGCTAACAGGTCAGTACAACATAACACTGACTAAACTGCCGACAAGTATAACCTCTGCCATTGTTATGTTATGAATAGTTCACCTTTTATTCAATTGCCTTTTCAGTTTAGTGAATATCTTTAAGGAGCTCAGTAATGATATTGAGGGCTTTACAAAACCAGATCATGGCTACCTCATTGGCTGGGCAAAACAAGGTAATGTATACTCGCGTGATTAAATGCCTGGAATAATGTTAACAAACAATAGAACCATGATTCTCAATATTTATTTTCTTTACTAAACCTTTTTCAGGTGTTTTGCTATTGAATGCATGTCTAACAGTTGTGGCTTCACAAGCAAATTCTCATAAAGATAAAGTAGGTTTGCACGGAAAGTAACTTTATGAAAAATCGTGATTTCGATTTGATGAGCAAGGGGGCGGTATTTTCTATCTCTGACAGTGGATTACTAAAGTGGATTACTAAACAACAACAACAAAATTGCAAAAGAAGATACAGACAAAAATACAGAAGCCGCTTGCCAGTAATGGTCAAACTGTAGCATGACAGATATCCCTTACCTGTGCTGCAGCTACACGTAATATGGCCTGTTATTATTATATAACTAGTCCGTCATCTTTAATTATTCCAGGGATGGGAGCAATTCACTGATGCTGTGATAAGATGGATCAACAAGAATCTGAGTGGAGTGGTTTTTATGCTTTGGGGTTCTTATGCACAGAAGAAGTGTAGTTTTATTGACAAGGTAAGATGATATTTAGCAAATACATATCAGCGAACGTACAGTTTCAACATGCAATATAACATTTGCAAATTAAAGACAACCGATACATGCAGAGGTGCATTTCTGATACGTATTTAATAGGTTTTATTATGAAATGCCATTACCGTTCACTTTAGATTCAAATAATGTACAGTTCAAGTAAGCTGCTACAAAAGACATTGTTGAGTGAGAGTCTACAATTTGCACCACATTGCTTAGAAATTGCAAAATATGTCTGGGCCTTTAACTAAATGTTGTCACTAGTAACCAAGTGCATTGTCAAACATTTTTGTTCCCCTTGAAAAATGCTAATGAATTGGCTATACTTGGATATTGCTTCATCATCAAAATATGTATTGATTAGCTAAGGGCCTCTTTATATCTTGACAGAACAAGCATTGCATCCTCAAGTCAGTACATCCTTCACCTTTGTCAGCTCACAGAGGATATCTGGGTTGCAAGCATTTTTCAAAAGCCAATGATTACTTGAAGAAACATAGCAAACAGCCCATCAAGTGGGAATACCTTCCCGTCAAGGATGATGCCTCATAAAATACCAGAAGTGCTCTTGCATTTGAATGCATTTTTAGATGTTTAAAATGCATACACGCATCTGCTGTTTGGTTTGGTAGTTGATGTTTAAACAGGGAGAGCATTACTAAGAAAAGTGAAACCCATAGAACTATAAATAGAACTGTTCCTGAAAATATTGATATTTCTTCATTACACATTTATAAATATTGTCCTTCCTTCCCTCCATCTTGATTAAAATACAATAGCAAAATTACAAATGAAACTGTCCAAAACTTCTAGGGTGACCACAGTAAATCCGTGAAACTTTAGTAATACTAAGTAGCACAATTTCATGCAAATTCCATTGTTTTCTATTGTTTAACTAGCACTATTTTGTGCTATTCAGTAATTAGTTTCACGGATTTACTGTGGTCACTCTATTTAAATGAAGATAAAGATATTTTTTTGGGAACTGCTAAAGAATTAAATAGAGTATAGGAAAAATAAAGGAGAAGGCAATTTTGGAGTCACATTCAGTGTAATAACTTAGCTTTAAATACCCCATCTAATCCAACAGGACTATGTCAAGTTGAAAATTGCTTTTTATAAAGATAAGATTGTTGTATATTTTAAAAATTAATTTAGAAAGTTTTTGTTGTGCATTAAGACTCATTCCCTGGAGTATCATTTCTTTGTTTAACAAATGCAGTGACTTAATGGTTGCACATGAGAATATACATGAATATGGATACAGGGAATGAAATGTGATCTGAAATGGGAAAACATCCTCTAGCTGAGGAGGTTTGTTTTTAAACTACCTGAGAAATAATACTTGTTTCTTAAAAATTCTTTATTTGATTGTTTTGATTAATATTTTACTTACATAATAAACTAGATTCAGTAAAATAATAGTGTCGCAACTAATACTTGTTCTTTGATATGACATGTACAATGTTTTGTTAAAAGCACAGCTGAAAACTTGAAAACATGAATCGTAAACAAAGTGTTAGCAGTACAGTCAAATACTGTTCTCAAAATGTTGAAAATCAAGTGCTCTGTCAATATTGATATTATGCAGAATGTTTTTTTCTTACTATTATGGTAATGATTACTTTGATTTGTCCTCATGCAGTGTTAGGGCTATTTCCATTTGGTCAGAACTGGACAGTCAGTCTAGCCTACTTGTAAATATGATTGCATTATTGATCAGGACTGTCCTTCTGTTCCCAATCTTTATCCACTATTTTGATAGGATGTTTCAAAGTTTTGGGAAAATGCACTAAAAGTGACCTATTCACTTTTACATTGAAACTGTTTGGCCTAATGGAAAACCTGTATAATGGAAAGTGCCATTACATAGGATTGGCAACTGTGACTTTTTATTTTTAACTAATCAGCTTTGTTATTACATTGGCTTGTGTCAACCTATTTGGATTTATTTTTAATTAGGGCCCAGAAAAATATTGGGCTTGTTTGTTATGGTTGGGCTCGTTTGTCATACTGATTTTCCAAAACACTTAATGTTGGGTCAAATTTTGGCCCTTTTGTCAGCCCTCTACATATATAGAGTCAAGTTATTCTCCTATCTGGACATGCCGAATTAAAATAATTAACCTTTTCTTAGAATTATCCAATTCCAATCAAGACATTTTACTCAAAATATTTTAAAAGATAGGTTATACTAATAATGCCCTTGAAAATGCAGTAATCTATAAGCTAAAGTAAAATAAGTCGGCTCTTCTAGGATATGCAGTCATTCGTTTTTCAGTGTTCAACAGTCACTGCATCTTTTCAGTTATTCATCATACATAGATAACAAACTGAAGTACAACGGCCTTCCAAGTGGGTGAGAGCAAGAGACAAGTTGCTCTGTGGTATCCTCCCATGAGGTCTTAAAACTGGTTTCTACAGACCAAGAGAAATAGAGGGACCAGCTTTGTGCATACAGTCTGATCTCGAAAAAATTCAACTCTACCACTTGCAGGTTAGGCCTATTTTTTTCTAGCTCTAAGTATGTAAAGGGATCATGAACATAATCATGCATGACTATAATACACTATAATTGTTATTAATTTACTAGTTTACAGTATTAGAACCTTGATATTCGATACTCTACATGAATTACCCTGATATTATTTTGCCAATAAAGCAAAAGTACTTGGTGGGCCCTGATTTGAATACTGCATTTCTATGTAAAAACTTGCATGCATAATAGTATATGAATACCATGGAAAAGATCCCAATAATGTAAATGAAGTATATGGAGCACTCACTTCTAGTTTCAACTAAGATAGGATTCACTAATTATGAATCTAATCTGACATGCTTTTCAGTTAGCAAGCAAATTGTTTTGGGGGGATCATTTTTTTTACAAAAATATATTTTTTAAATTTGATCTAGTTTATACTGTATTTACAGGTTTTGAAATGGAGCTTTGGCTCTATGGTGTCTTCATCTTAATGCCTTGAATAATAAAGCAATCTGGAAAATGTAATTGTATAGTGGAAGATTGATATAATTGCTATGCAATCTATTTTAGTGTGGATACTAGCACATTTATGTTGTCATGTTTCCATGTACTCCTTTTTGGGATAAATCCAGAGTGAGATAAGGTACTCTCTGGCCTTTTTTTGGCCTGTACAATAAACCAGTTATGGAGAATATGCAGGTGGTGGAATATCARACAGGGAGTCTGCATAACTCGTTGAATACATCAGTTCAAGGGATAGTTCATCATCAGATGCAGAACGTTGCCTATGCCGTCTTTGACAGTACAGTAGTCCAAAGGCAGTGGCCAGCACTGATGATACACCAGCAGCAGCAACCAAGTAGAAACTTACTTGAAATTTAGTTTTTATTGTTGTTTCTTTGCCTTTAAGTTGAGCATTACTACTGTGCTCCAATAGCTGTGTTACCCAGTAAATTAATCCATTTGTAGCCACGCAAAATACAACTGAAGACAAAGTAAAATAATGATAACATTAGGGGTCAAATAAAAATTACTTTGTTTCAGTTTTTCAATTGACATTGTAGCCCTTCACTTTCACTGTATCAAAAATGCAAGTGGACAACACTAGATAGGGCTGATGTTTTTGTCAAAATGTCAATGTTAGGCCATGTGTTTAAACAAAACTTGTACTGTTGCCCAACATGTGTTCAAACATTAAAGTTGCTGTTTGAAGCAGGAAATTAGTTGGACAAATACTCATTCAGTTGCCTCACCCCCCCCTCCCCTCTATAATTTTAATTACACTAACCTAATTTCAACCATGTGCATTTTTGTTTATTTTAATTACCTGTTAATATATTAGCAATGGAATTGTTTTTCAAGCACTTCAAAGTCTTGTTTAAGGTTCCACACAAATCCAAAAGGCAGGCAAACATACTAGCGACAATACTGATACAGCAGATTCCAACTGTTACTCGCAAGATTGTGACCATAGACTCTGTATAACAATATTTCTCTGATATAAAAAAATAGAAAAAAAGTTAGGAAGTACATGTCTAAAAAAGTGGCTGCTCAATGGTAAGATATGGTTACCAGTTACATCGGACTGATCAACATACATGTATGACCGTAGAATATTAGGTGTTTTTGCTGCTTGGATAGTTATTAAAGATGTGAATAATTCACATTATTGTGGAGTTTGTCAAGTAAATTTTTTTCGAAAAAGAAATTATGGCTGGTCAAGAGGAATTGGGCTGAACATGTGTCAATTTTTGCCAGATACTGCCTATTGCCTGAAAGGCTGCTATTTTTAGCCAAGTATAATAAATCATGCTATTTTTATATAAAGCAGTTCACAGCTATAAACAMATCACCAAACACATACCAAATGAATTTTAATTTGTGATTTGCAATCCTATTCCAATTAGGTTTCCATGAAAGTAAATCAAGTATTTCCAGAATAGTAACAATAAACTTTAAGACAGTTGCTGCTTGATAACTAAACAAAAGAACGTGTAAAAGAATATGGTTTTGGTAGTAATAATGCTGCAGTATAGAGCAGGTGCATGTTACACCATAGCTGCCAACTTGGTTGACAATAACCTAAGCATTCCTTATTAGCTTCTCTTGTTATATCAACCAGCATGGTGGCTGTTTCATTGTTGCTCATATCATAAGACATTTTGAATCGCATAGTTGCACACACTGTAAATGATGCAAACAGTCTATTTTGAGCTTACAGTAGTCTCTGACAAACATAACAGAACTTTTGCTTCTGTACGAAATGGAGTTAACAACTCATTCGCTGGCAGCTCCTGACAGAGTTAGGATGCAGGTGTAATCACCTAACTAAACAACTAAGCATCAAGTTCCCCATGTACAGACAAGGATTAGTCTATATTTGGTTAAATTCACCCATTATATGGCAAGCAATACATGATATATGACAATTTATATATCAATAATGAGGTCCAGGCATATTTTTTGGATATGGTTAGATATGGTTAGAAATGGTCTCAAAATTTCACACAAGACTTTCAAACCAACTTAATTAAGCTCATGTCAAATTTTCTTTGTTCATAAGTGGCAGGGCATCACAGCAATAAATAAATCTTTATTTTGAATAATAAATGTTCCAATGCATGTCTTACCATTAAATTTGTATATATACACACTATTTTTATTCTTTTGATTTCCTGCCCTTCCTTAATAAAATTATTCAGAAACCTTCAAAGATATTCGAAAAAAAATTAATTGCTTGGAGGCCGAGGTATACGTGCAGAACATGATATATTACATATTTTTCATGATCAAATGTTATGCATGACCAGGCAGATGATTTCAGATTTCGTCGATTCCAAGAAAAAAGCAAAGACAATCATTCGAATAGTTTTTTTTTGATTGCTGAAACGAATAGAAAGTTTTTCCGTTGGATAAAAAATTTCGTGTCATTGAGCATTTCTGGTAGAATAGCCACCACAATAATCAACAAAATAATTTGCGCATTATTTAAACACGGATAAAGCTACAGACTGTAAAGCTGATAACGAATAACAGACTTGCTACGAAGGACATGTAAACATATGTGTAATCATAAATGCAAAACTTTTTTTCTCGAAAAAATAGGCCGAAATAGATATTAAATAAGGAAGTTGAATATCTGTTTTACGTACCACTTGGTCAGAGGACTCGGAAAAGGCACGTCATGTTTAGGTGTAGAATTCAAGAAATGACGTAAAACAACAATTCAATCACAATAAAACAATTCTTGGTTCTCACCTAAACTTTTCGCAGACTTGTAAGCAATCACTTTATATAGCCCAATATAATGCCCAGAACAATTTCCACCGACAATCTTCAGCCATTTTGGTTCAGCTTCGGCTATCGCGATCAACACAGCAGAAGCAAGAGCAAAAAATGCGGAAACGACATTTCGTTCGTACTCGGGTTTGGGTCGCCTCGAGTTACGGTTTCTCCGATTGCTACGGCGTCTTGTAAAGCCACTGTAGTCACCAAACTGTATAGGTCTTGGCTGTAACATCATGTAGACTCATGAAGTAAACTATTTACCGAGAGAAGTTGGGTATAAAACCCGGAAAAATGTCAACATTTGTAGAGTTTAGTGGCGAACACGGTGACATGCACAACGAATGGTTTCCAAATTTGATAGCTGTCACGTGACTCATCGCATGATATAGGATACAGGAAGCCCACTAGACGCCTATGGTCTTTGGCTATAACGGCTAAATGATTAGGCAAAAGCACTTTTAGTTGTTACTCGAAAGTGTCTGTTAGTGTTAAAAAATAGATGCTTAAACCAATTATTTCAATCTAAATCAAATTCTATTGATTTAAAAAAAAAAGGTGTATAGAAAATACAATTTGATATGTACTTTTCTGACTAAAATATAAATTTACTATAGCTCCCATTTAGTCACCGAATTTGCTGTACCAAAACTTTGAAAGTGGTATGTGATATAAATATATGTGAATCTTATAATATTTTATGGACATTGAAAATCTGGTTGTTGGGCTTCCTGTGTCACTTGTGAACAGCCCGTTAGGTGTAAAATCACTAGATCATAAGATAACTAATTGAAAAATAGCTTTTATGTATATCCTTTAGATAATATTTATGAAACATTTTTCTCAAAAAACTAATTTTGAAATAAAGTTTGCTTCTAATCAAACTCGATTCCAGTCCTTTCTCGACTGGCCCACATAATTTTTGCCACGTAACCTGGCAGTCAGTAATCTTCCAAAAATAGAAAGAAAGAGGTTCTTTACTTTATATGAGCGATAAAGAGAAATTTAAAAATTAAATTTTCAAGTTAAGGAAACGTTTAAAAATGAAGTTATTTGCCTTGTGTATCTTTCATAAAGATGTCAACGTTAAACTTCTAGTATCAGCCTTCGATCTTCAGTCGTTTGGGTATTTTCAGCGATCAAGGTAAAATTTGACTTGGAAGTATTAAATTAGTGCTAAATGATTTACCAAAATTTAGTTCCTAGGAATAAAATATAGGATGCAATTATTCAATTTACTGTTTAACTATAGGTCTGTTCATACCTTATAGAAGTTCTGAAATCTGTATTCGTTTTAAAAAGCTTGTACCAACTGATTATTCATTAGGCGTTTTAAATATGCTTTTGAACCCGTTTTAAACAATAAAATAAAATTTTAGTTGGTTAAGCTTAATTATTTGTCAGACTTCATAGCTATTCCTATATGTAACAAGAAATGTGTAGTACTTGATTAACCGAGTTTATAGTCGCTCATTATCTCATCACCTGCCAACAGAAATATTATATTATAAATTGTAATCAAAATATTATATTAATTGTAATCAGCTGGTTGATCAGCTTGTCTCCTATCCAACAGTGGCGGATCCAGGGGGGGTCTAAGGGGTCCACGGAACCCCCCTTGAAGGTTTGATCTTTTAGGTAATAGAAATATGTCTTATATAAATTTTAATAAAAAAATATTAGTAGTTTTGATATTTGCTGTTATAATGTTTAATTTACCTTTAAGTTCCGTAACTAGATAGTAAATTAGGTGATTAGAGCCAATTTTTTTGTCAAACCTTGACTAAACAAAAGAGAATTATACACAGTTTATCAAACAGAACCCCCCTTTGAAAAATTCTGGATCCGCCACTGTCCAATATACCTATTATTTAGTAAAGATGTCATGGTCATAATGAGTTTTCATTTTAGTTAAATTTTGGTATGTTTTCAGTGTAAAAGAGTTTATGCAGTTTACGAGTAAGATACTTGTGGAACGAACAAGACCAAATGAACGTGCTACAGTAAAAGAACAAGGTTTGTATGACATCGCCACTAGAAATAAAACATGTTACCGGCGTTTGCAATGCTACGCAGCCACCCGAGACAKGCACTTTGCAATAGACTGCCGTCAATTAAACACGTTGATGCCATTTACACGCGTGTGTGATTCAAAAGGCGCCAAAACTTGTCTATTGTTTACAAGTATTATGAGCCACACTCACCGGGCCTATCCGGGCCGATCCAAACGCATGTAAATGACATCAACTTGTTTGATTGACAGCAGTCTATTGCAATGCAGTCTATTGTAGACGTTGGATTTTTGACTGGTGTGGCCGCGTAGCAATGCAAACGCTGGTAATACTACTGTATTATTATTTTTAATGTTATATTATAATATAATGGTTATTTACTGACCAGAAAGTATGGAAGGGAAAACTGCGCCCAAGGTCTTTAATATAGACCCAGGCTGTAGATCAGATGCCAGAGGTCCAATTTCACAGTGCAAAGTTCCCTATATCTGAACCGACTTAATTTTTTTAAATTAGCTTTAATAGTAGTATTTATTTAGAAAAAAATTAAGAAAAACACTAGTTGAGATACTTTTCACATTTACTTTTCTTCTTTTATTTATATAAACATGCTTTGTTGTTTAGCAATCCAGGATCTAAGAATACCAAACTTCTCCAACAGCCATTCAGAACTCACAATTTTTAGGGATTGGAGTGGGAAAAAAATTATCATGTAAATATTGTGATGACTGTTTGATTCCAATTCTAGAATACCTGTGTCATGTATATGTAAGGATGGACTCACTTGGTGCATGCCTGATTGCTGATGGTGAATACCCACGGAGAGTTGCTTTCACATTTCTTAACAAGGTACCTTGACATTACCCAATGACACTGGTAGCATTTTTGTATCACATAACAAGGGCGGATCCAGGGGGAGGGGGGTGGGCAAAGGGGGGCTGAAGCCCCCCTTCAGAAAACAAAAACAAAACAAAACTGAAGAATTAGATGCTTTTTTATTGTTTTCTGTTGTGTTGACGGAAGAAACTCAATTAGGCCCCCCTAAACTCAATTAGCCCCCCACCCTTAAAATTTTGGCTGGATCCGCCCTTGCATAAAGAGTTAACGTAAGATTGAATAAGCCTTTCCTTATTTAGATACTTGAGGAATTTTCAAAAACAGTCCCACAATCAGTATGGAGATCAGCAGCTCATGAGTAAGTTKTTGAATAAATAGGCTCAAATCTTGGCTTAATGCAACTTGTATAGAACTAGACTCTCCAAGACCAAAACTTCCCTTGGTATACTAGATTTAGAAAAACAGCCTGCTATTGGCCAGAATATGTTGGCCAAAATCTACCAATGGTGGAAAATAATATACAAGATTGAAATAAAATATTAGGCAAATTTTACTGCCAAAATATATTTCTCCTGCATTCTGGTTAAAGTAAGAAACCTGCATTTCAAACCCTTGACAGATTAAGAAATTCTAATGGCTGTGAGATTTCATTTAAGTTTCAAAATCTTCTTTTTCAGCTCTGTTGAATTTCCAGCATGTGCAGAAAATCTTGAAAAGTATCAGGTAAGGAAAACTCATGAAGAAATAAAAAACGCGCGCGCGTGCTGTGTGCTGTCATAAAGCATGCGGGGGTTGGCAAAACACGAGAGAAGTGTTAGGAGAAGCACGACACGTAGTGGAGTGCTTCTGGACACTTCTCGAGTGTTCTGCCAATCCCCAAGWGCTTTATGACTGCACACAGCACAGCAAGCAAGTTTTTTATTTCTTTTATAAAATACAAATTACAATGATAGATAGGAATGAAGCAACGGAAAGTGCGCATGAGTGCAATGTGCTCTCATAAAGCATGTGCTCCAAACCAATCAGAGCACGACATTCATAACAGTTATTTTATAATGACCATTAATTAATAATTGCAGGTGTCGGCATACCATCTGACTTGGTGCTGTCCTTTGTATTTTGTAATGTCAGTCTACATGTTCAGTGTAATCACTATGATATTGCTTACCTTTCTTATTCAGAAAAGTTATTGATAGTCTTGCTCAATTAATTCTTTTATTCAATTTTTTTAGAACCCTAAAGAAGCAGATGCAATGTCTAAAGTTCAGTCAGAACTAGATGAAACCAAAATTGTTTTAGTAAGTTGAGCTATATATATTTTTTGTTATTTTTGATTTGGTGGATTGTCTTTTAGTCTGTAATGGACAAGATGTGAATCTGAACATGTAAAGAACATAATTGTATATTTTATTATTTTGTAGCATAGCACCATTGAAGCAGTATTAGAAAGAGGAGAAAAACTGGACGATTTAGTAGAAAAATCTGAAGGTCTTAGTATGCAATCCAAGACATTCTACAAAACAGTAAGTTTGGATCATTATGATCATAAGTACAGCACTAACCTCATGTCTTGTGATAACTGAAATCTGTGTCATGAATTAGCTGGAGCAAGAACACTTCAGACAATAAGGTGTAACCATTATAGTAACCTATGTTTAAATGCACCTAGCAATTGTACTTATACTTGTGTCAATTGTTCACTGACAGGCATAGTACAACTGAGGAAGGCTCCTCAGTAGAGTGCAAACAATATAACCGTGAAACTTTAGTAATACTAAGTAGCACAATTCATGCAAATTCCATTGTTTTCTATTGTTTAGCTAGCACTATTTTGTACTATTTAGTAATTAGTGTTTCACGGATTAATTGTTTGCACTCTAATATTTCCTTTGGCAAAACTATGGACTAATTTAAGTCTATAAAATTTATGTTGTGTCAGGACTCCATTTACAGCATTAAATGGAATGGAATGCTACATGTATAAAATTAATATTAATTTAAATAAAATAATAATAAAAAAATAAGGCAACCTTTTTTCCATGCATGTTTTAGTTAAGCACTACAGCTTTTAGTTTAGTACCAACTTTTCTTTCTTTCTTTTTTTAGGCAAAGAAGACAAACTCTTGTTGTTCTATTCAATGATTCACTTTGCGATCACAAGGCTGCAGAAGTACTGGAAGAAGCTGACCCATAAGCATTGCAGTTTTCTGCAGCACTGAATTTGACCCAGAAAAATGCAAAAGTTACAAAATTGTATAATGAGAAAATAGCTTTAATAGAAATATTAAGTAATGCAATCTCAGTTTGTTTCACGAAAATACATTATTTTTAATTGCGCATTTCAAATTTAAGAATACTAGACTGAAGTGGCCATTTAGAGTCAGTTCACAAACCCGTGAACAACTTATTCAGTCCTTGCAGACACTGTTAGGAAATAAGCCAGAACACGAGAAAAAATGTCTGTCAAAAAGCGCTGAAGTTGTGACATCTTGGTTGCTAATGGAAAAGAGTAATTTCACAGGTATCCCGATTTTTTAAAAGAAAACATAGCAATTAGTGTCAACATTTTGGCAACCAAATATAAAATCAACCTTGTACACTGTAAATTATAGTATGCCTTATTTTTTTATCAGTTGTATAAGTTTCATTTGCTGAAAGGTTTTCAGTCTAGTTAGAGGAGTTATGTGGAGGTCACGTGAAAGGTAAAAAATGCATTTATCATATTGATAAATGTGTATGAAAATGCATTTAGAAGACCGAGCATTTAAGGAGACCGAATATAATGGCGGTAATTTTTACATGACCTGTTGATGCAAATAATCGATTCTTAAATCATATCATACATATACTCAGTATTAAATAAGGAGTTCATTAATTCAGTTACCTTTTCTCTTTTTTCAGTCGTCTAAAAAGTTTCAGGGACAGTTGAGGTCCTGTTACACTGTATACGTTTCTCAGCAACCTGTCTCGCAATGCTTGAAATGTAACGTTACAAGTTGCCGAGGTGAGGTGTTAGACCGCAACACGATCTCATCAACTTGCAACATTTTTTTGGCTCCTCGGAAAACATGAGAAATGCGCGCATGCGCTCTTGAAAAATATGCCTTAAAATTGCGAGAAATGTTGTTTTAGGGTGATGCAGTGTGCAATGGCGTTGCCAGTTGCTGCAATCCGTTCTAAAAAGTAGAAATTATTTCTACTTCGTGCCGACGCTAAGCGCGAAAAAAATTGTGAGACTAACACTCCTTTTCACTGTGCAATTTTCCATCAGCTTGGAAAATTGCACAGTGTAACAGAGCCTTTAATTTCTGTAACGGGCGTTCCTGTTCTTGTAAGAAAAAATAAAGTTACATTGCACTGATGTCCGCCTGCGTTCCTTCAAATAGTAGAGCTCGACCATGCTCTTGCAACGATGCCGGCAATGTTGAGCGCATGCACATTAGTAGTGGGTATGTAGTGCAGTTTTAAAGCTGCGTGCATGAAATGTTGCATATATCGAGGGTACAATTTCCAGGTCTCCGCTCCCATGATCCATTAATTAATTTCACCTCTCGTTCATAACTCATTGTAAAGCGCCTTTGAACATATCCATATGAAAAAGAGCGCTAGATAAATCATCATMATCATTTCAGTCAATAAGTGTTCCTGCTGCACTTTCTGGTACACGACCGCGGCAAAATGGGAGTGGCAAGCTTTTTTTCCTCCCTCCATAAAAATCAACTCCTAAATTCTAATTCGATCTACCGGCTGCCTTATCAATTGGGTCAAAAGGCCTGTTAGGCATCAAGCCGTCCACCCAGGAGTGGTAAACGCATTAGATTTTATAACGCAACACGTGATGAATATAAACTGTATATACTTTACTGGAATACGAAACTCACCATAAATAAACAAGTACTCTCTTTTTTGAGCCTCAAGTCAACCGGGGGTTGCGGATGCGCCTTTTTCAATCGGCAGCCATGTTGCCTGGAACGATGAGCAAGCCTAAGGAAAAGATGGCCATAAGATTTTTTGTGAATCGAATTGGGGTGAAAACGAAACGTTTTAACTTGGAATTTTTGTCGGGATTGCTTATGTTCACACAAAAACAAGTTTTTCAAAGCCTACTAAAAAGCGCGAAACGTTATTCTGGTTGTGGCAAAAGCCAGCGCGGCGTCGGAACACTGATGTACATGTTGAGATTCAACACAACAGTCATCCCGATCACCACTTTATTGTGGAAGATCATGGTTTTTTTTGAATGGAGGTCTGCTTGATGTTGGACCGCTGTATATGTTATGGCGTCATATAGGCATTTGAACGAGTCCACATTATACACCGTACTGCACATGAGTTTACATCCTATAAATACCAACAAATCAAAAAAGGATTACGAGGAATTAGTAACACAGTTAACTATTATCCATCATAGTTGAAAATAAGTAATTTAGGTCCCTAGCCGTAAGCTTAGTTAATTAATAGCGTCTTAGAAATCGCTTATTTTTAAAACGATGCCATAGCTGGAATCTGACTTTAATAAAAAATTCCCGAAGATTACTAATACTATTATGAATGATCTTAAAAGCCGTTTATATATTTTTTCTGACAGGGAAGGTATTGGAATAAAGGACCAATAGTGGATCGCGATGGGCTACAGTTCATAATGATCAGAAGTCGCTATTTCATCGAGTTAATCGGCTGGCGCTTACTGAGAAGATAAAAGGTCGTAAACATGAACGGTCAGGCTGAAAATCATTCTAATAAGTCTGAATTCCTTAAAAAAAGCCTCTTGCAAAGAGTAGCAAGTTATAATTAATAAGCCTTCTGGCAATACCAAACGTAAGCACAAAATGGTTTGTAATTTTGCTTTTAATTTATGGGAGTTAATTATATAAACTAATAAAACCTGATTTTTAAAGGATCAGTCAGTATGTGTGTGTGTGTGTGTGCATTTTTTCAGTCGTAAACCATTATAAGAAATCCATAAATGAATCTGGAATACGTACTTAGGCGTTTTGGCAGATGTTTAGTCCATTCGATGCTTACTCCAATCATCCAGTATGGGACTAATGGCCTTGGTGGAGTCCTTCAATTCCCAGCGATTTAGTCTCCAAGTATTTTAATTTAGTATCTGTATGTTACCTAAGAAATGCACTAACAAGAGTGTCATAAAATACCAAAGGACAGCAAGATCAATCAGTCATGCTGATGATAACTGTGCTAATTAACCGCCTGATTAGGGAACTGCCAGTTTGTGTATTGGAGATAAAGAATAAATTCACTTCAATCATACATTTATTTCGATTTCTTCAATCAATCGAGTTTTGGTTCAGCTCAAGGGTTTTTGATTATCCTTTCGCTTTATTAGTCGCCTGTTGCTTTTATAATTGGTTGTTGTTGTTGTTGTCCATGAAGAGGTGGGAGGGGGGATGTTGAGGGGTAGCGGAGGGGAGTACAGGGAGCAAGGAAGGGGAGGATCTTAAAGAAGTCGGGCTTTTAAAAAATATGCAAGTATCTTAAAGAAGTAACTAAGAAACTCATTATCGTGATACTTCAGTTTCTGGTAGTACAATTAAATTTACCACTCATCTCTGAAAACCGCAGACAGAGCAAGACTAGCAAGCCACACACTAGCAAATTCTATATATGCGCCTAGTACTCGATAGGTAATAAACACTGATCTACGAGACTACTGATCTACGAGACTACTGATCTACGAGAGTATTTTTCAATTCACGAGATCATCTTTCACCGTGTCTAAACTAACCCCACGGACTCGATAACATTGCATCTTTCTCCACAACGACACATGATTCTAGAAAATTAAGCTGCTAAAACGCATGCGCATCGTGCCGCCAAAGTGTTCATGTGAACTGGAAAGTGTAAGCAAATTATGACGAACATTATCCGCGCCGTCTTCCTAAGAGATTTTTCATTTGGTGAAAAATTATGTAAAACAAAAACCAGATGTTAGTTATATTCATTTTTTTTTTCATGCTGCAAGTTTTAATGAAACTTTAGTTTGTGCGCTGTAAAAATGAAAATTTAAATGGGGCTTTACCGACGAACAGCTTGAATTTCATTTAGAATGCGGTCATACGTTATGTTGGTTCATATTTAAAGCCTTCAATCTCAACTTAACTTCAAAACAAAACACATTCAAAATTTGCGCTATTATTATTACTATGAGTCATTTGGTTGTCGATCACTTCATTAGAGTGCTCGTACCGATAATAGTTTATATCTAAATATTTCAAGAATACCAAAACCTTGAAAGAAATTTCATCGTTTTAAAACAACRACCAGAACCGCTTTGGTGATATTTTTTGTAAGGAGTTGAGCCCCATTTGGAGTGATCAGACCGCGGAAACTGACCCGGCGGCCAAAACAAAGTGAAAAACAGTGGAATGGATATTTTTAACGTTTAATGTAAGCTTCCTTGGTGGCTGTCCAAAGACTCTGTGGCCATTTATATTTTCTTTTAAGACAAGCCATTTCATTATTTTTATTTTTATTTCGTTTTTCTTGCCCCCCTTTGTCATTTTAATATTCCACCGCTTTTTCTGAACTGCACTCAACTCAGACGTCAATAATAAAACAATTATTGCTTTGTGGTCGAAGCCGATTTTTTTGCGATTACTATTCATATTCATATTCTGTATCCATCATATGCAAATAGACGTTAATRACTTTGAAATGTCTGGAAGTTTATTTAATTTGCGAGACAGCTATTGGAATAATCATCTCATTTCATTGCAAGAGATAAATAAACTCGGTCAGTTTGCCATTCACGAACTGCAATTTCGGTCTAGACCATAAAATGAGAAATTGATTAAAACGATAAAACACAAGAGATAAATTATCATGAATATATCGATAGTTGACAACTTTTTATACTGGAGGCATTTAGAATACTAGTGCTCTTAACATTTACCCTTTCACGTACAGGCTGCGCGCGCGACCTATCGATCAATTTACAAATTAAAAATAATAATAATCCATTGTGACGTCACGTGATTGTCAGATTGGTAAGTGAATGAGATGCAAATCAGGTAAGGTTTCTGGGTAAACACAACGGAGCAGGTACGAGTAAATATGCTCGCTCTGTTAAACTGACTGGAGTTCTTCTCTAAACGTAAACGCGGTACCAAGAGAAGCCTTGAAAAAAATGGATCTGGCGTTTGATTTCCCGCCTTAAGGTAGAAACCACGACAATAATTTTTGGTGCGTGAACTAAGAGGATCTCCATAGGACTTCTGGAAGGAATTGTCTTYGGACATGGAGGAACTCACTCCTGAGATAGTTGAACAGTTTCTTGACAAAAATGAGGAATTCGCTAAAAATTATTTCGAAAAGAATGCAACATCCGCTATGGTGGATCACTGGATGTTGTCAAGGTCACATCGACCTGGCTCGCGCGGTTCTATGGAAGTTAAAAGACAGAGTATAAAAACATCGAACCGGGTGAAATCGTTAGTGGGGTCGGTGACAAACGTGAAACTCAAGGGTATACTCTGTAAAAATGATGATATGCGAACTTTAAGTCAGACGCAGTTAGAGTCAATGAATGAAAAAGATCTCTTTATGGAACTGATTCGTGATATTGCAAACGAACTGGACATCAATCGCCTAAGTCATAAAATCCTTGTCAATGTGAGCATCCTGACAAAAGCTGATCGCTGTTCTCTATTCCTCGTGCGCGGTAAAAAAGAACACCGAGAGCTGGTGTCAAAACTTTTCGATGTAACAGCTTCATCGACTTTAGAGGAATCGCTGCGTTCTGAAGACGATGAAATTATGGTTCCATTCGGAGTTGGTATTGCTGGAGTTGCTGCACAAAATGGCGAAGCTATCAACATCAAAGACGCATATTCGGTAAGATAATATCATGTATGTTATAGTATACCTTGTTGTTAAATACAATTCTATAGGATTAGGAATTTAAAGAAGCTCTAGTGTTACGGACCAAACGTGCCGACGGCAGTTTAAACTTCCAAGCAAGGGGTCGAGAACTTTGCATGTGTATTTAGTTGAGTCCATTTTGGGATAACCTTTTGTATTAAGGGCCTTCAGGTCAGGAATGTAATAATGTAAGGATTAGAATTAATTTTGATATCTTGCTAAGTATTTTTAAAGACATTCAAACCGTTTCTTAATCATCTTGTGAGAACACGTAACTATTCGCAGGTTCCAATCCGGATTTTCCGAAGTCGTTTTTTCTTCCTGTGCTTATTATTTATTTTTTCCTCTTAGTCTAATTATTCATAGGCCTTTCAAAATCAGGAAAGTTGTTTGGTATTATTTTTAGTTGGAAACAGTAGGACGTTATCGCTTGTGGGATGTATCTACGAGGATTGGTTTTATCAGTCTCCCATCATGAATGGGTAAAACCTTTCAAACTACTGCGATATCAGTGATCATATGATACAGTAACCTAGGTAACGTGTCGTCTGCTCATGCTTTATCGATATAGCTCGAGATTTCTTGTACTATTAACAGCACATCCATACTTTATTATATTATCAACAAAACGCCCATCCACGTTCAATATTGAATTCGTACAGAAGACTCAAAAAGATTCGTCGTGCACGCTAGCGAAAAGCGACACTCTAAAAAATGTGTCCATAAACTATCTTGGTGTTTTGTTTTGGCTATTTTATATTCAAATTGAATACTGCCAGTGTTTGAATAACCCTGGATTATACTAAACAATGCGCTATAAAGATTGTATGATTCAAACCATTGTTACAACTCACAAGTAAAGTCAGGATTACTTAGGCGAAACATTACCTCAACAACACAAAAGAAAACACTTAATTTTTTTTGCAAAACTAATAGTTTACTTCGTTCCATGCTTCGTTCTGACTAGATAAACTATATAGTGCCTCGCTATTTTTTGGCCTTACATACAAACAGAACTACCAATCAGTGTTCATTAAAGGTTTGGAGAGATTATCATCTTTACATTGTAAGGAATATGTTTTGATAATTGGTTACCTAATTATTAAAGAAAAAATTAAAAAAATAAAGGAAAGACGTTGAAAGACGAGCGGGAAAAACAGATAAACATCCAAAATACAAGAAAATACTTTTCTGTTATCAATCGACTATGTTGTTTATATACATATTTTTGACAAGTACAAATACGCGTTTGCTCGGCTTTCCGGCTGTGAAATATAGCGAAAAACTGATGAAGAAATTCCCTTTTTAAGTGGTTTTTTTTTTTTGTTGTCAATTTACAAACTTTTTTTTTTCCATTTAGAATAGATGTCTTGATCGCGATGTCAAATAAATCCATATCGCTACCTTAACTCAAGAGAAAACCGTATATAATATATTTGTACATTGTAAAATAATTATATTTCTATACTATTATAGCTTTTTTATAACTACTATATATCTAAGCTTGAAGCCGCTGTACTAATTAATAGTCCCCCTGTAGGTTATGAAACATAGTTCGTTTCTGTGGCAACAGGAAGTATTTGTTTTGACGAGTAATGCCAGCATATTGATTGATTCTTGTATTCGTCCAGATAAACTCGGTACGTAATGAATGGTATTTCATTTAGCTTTCCTATTATGTACCAACTTCACGTTGTCAAATCTTACAGTGCAATCAGAATGACGACGGCATATTAAGCTAATCTTGTTTTTTATTGTATTTTACACCTGCGAACAAAGTTAGATGTCTGGAGGATCTGAGAAATACACCTTAATGATAAGCGGTTTATTTTCATAAATTAACAGAATATCGAAACCCCTAGAATCTTTTAAACTTCCTCCATTTCCGAAACATCCGCACTGATGTCTAAATGCGAGGGTTTAGGGGAAAAAACATTATATGCGCTTGTATCAGCCGACTCTGGAAGTACTTAGTCATAGAAGAGAATAAAGAAATTTAAGAACACAAAGGTTTTTATTATTTTTAGCAAACTAAACCATAAAAGCGCTTATAATGTTCATTTAAGGGGTGTGCTTTTTGTCGTTTGCATGGAGGCATGAGAACAAATCATGGCCGTTTCATGCTCCATGCTGTGAAGACCGGCAGGGCTATAAAAATTGTTTTCTGGAAAGTACTGTGGATAAGGGTTAAGTTAATTGTAGGTCTAATCGATGTGGAAGCTAGCTAGGTTTTAGGATTATTCCGGTATCTATGTTATTTTTAGTATTCATGTGAACTATATACCCGCGACAGCTGCCATCGTCCTTTTTAAAACCAGCTTGTATTGATCGGCTAGTGCGTTTCTTCCTAAGCCAAAGGTCCATCTCTATCTATGTGACCAGGACTCAAGTTGCGACTTGATTTGTCTTAGATTAGCGTAGGTTTGGCTTTGAAAAGCCTTGGATTAAAGAACTGATGTGGCGGGAGTGGCACAAGGACACGTCCAAAAGGCATCGGATTTTCCTTTAATTTTTTAATAGTAGTTAAACTTCAGCCAAAAGAATCCACACTCTCTGTACACTAATCTTAACATTTCATTATATTCAGGCATAAATGGGGCTCAATATGTGTAGATATACAATACTGAAAGAGATATAGTGTTCGACAACACTGAAAAAATTGAACCGAAGATCTGATTTAAAATCAAAGATATTTCCATTATTATTTATTTATTTATTTATTTATTTATTTTCTTGGTTTGTTTTTGTTTTTGTTTTTGTTATAAACAAAGCTACACTCTGTCATTATGTGGCTACTGCAATTTCCTTTTTCTTCCCGAAGAGTTTTACCCATCATAGAGCAGACCATTTGACTGCCAATAGACATGCAGTGAGCGCGCTCTTCAGTCAGATAGATCAATAATGATCCAAGGATTGTGTTGGCAGTACCTACGCCTTTACATAATTGAATAGGGTTTGATGCCTCAAAGAACCTGATACAGGGCAACGTGACTAGTRTTCAGTTATTACCAGAAAAAGCTATGACTTGTTTTGAATTCGAATTTTTTAAAACATTCGAGTTCCTAAGAATTGACCAACAATTCCAAGAGAAAAGGTCATTTATACCATTTCACAGTGCCTCGAGGACCCTATAATTTCAATTCATTCTGTGAAAAGTATTAATACAGCTTTGATAGATAATGTCACTTGTTTATGACAGGCGCCCTTTTAGCTAACAGGAAGTTAGTGGCCAACGTCTAGTAATGAAAAAATATTTAATAAAGGAAAATAAAAAAGTGGTTTCATTTTAGCTAATGGATTTTTTTTGGTTGATCATGACAGAAGGAAGTTTAATCTAATTTGACCTCTTCACCTTGGGTGTAATATTTTCCCCATTTCAGACCTCGTGTCATTCTCTTGAGAAATAGATTCTTTGTTGGAGTTGTATCCATGTTCATGTTATAAAACTTTCTCATGCGCACCCATTAAACGAAGAGATAACAATGATAGGTGGTATAAAATAGGCTAAAAACGTTACGCCCAAGGTAAAAAGTGTGTATTGAAGACGAAAAACGGTAAAGACACTTTTCCAAGTCGATAGTTATGTTTATTACTTTCGGACTTGTACGTACCTTAAGGGGTTTATGCATCAGATTGGAAAGAACGGATCAAAACATGCCATCACTAAGTTTTTAATTTGTAAGTGATCGGCTATTATTAGCAAAAGAAGCTTTTTTGGATTCCGGGGATTAGCTAGGTCCGATTAGTTTGCGAAAGGTAAGTTGTGGTCGATGGTCAAAAAGGTTGGTCGGGTTGGTCGGGTTCTTCGTTCTAGTTACGCGGTCGATTTGTCGGTTGGTCGAATTTGAATTAACCATGCACGGATGAAAAGAATGCATCAAGACTTTAAACATAAGGCAAATGTATTAATTAAGAAAAATGTACTTTGTAAGCTGTATTTATATAGCCGATGAAAAAGAGCAGCTTCTTAAGTAGACTAATAGTGCTGATGGCAAAAACGCCTGTACGTGTTCGCATTTATACAGACCGCACAGCCAACCTACCGTTGACCAGCCGTTCCATTTCTTCCGGAATATTGCAGATATTCATCTGTTGATAATCTTATTCTTTTCTATCAAAAATAGGATTTTCAWTTAAAAAATATTTCTGTCTTTAATCCACAATAAATGGCTAAAGCAGACTACCGGCGAGCTGGGATGCCATTAAGTCTGGTAATGTCGTTCCGAGCCTTTTCAAAATGTAATGTACACTAATGAAGTTAAAATACTAAGGCGAAGTTAATCAGCCTAAGTCAAACTATGGGATTAAGTACAAGCAAGTCTTTCCTGTTTACTATTTGAAGATCCAAAATGAAAAAAAATTAATTTGTTATTTTYCCCCGGCAGATTTCTTTTATCTTGTTAGTATTACAAACTTTTTTTCAATTTTTGTTTTAGCTGGAAAATTCAAAAATTATTTTTCTCATTCACTCATTATGCCAATAATTGACGTCTTGTTTTTTATCAAGTTTTTAACGAACACAAGACCGATTGTAGGCGCCTAGGACACTAACAATCGTATCTTCCTGTGTTTGGTAGTCGACTTCGATCTTTTTTGTTTTCCTGTTTTGTCGAAAACTATTTTTTCACAAACGTCATTTTATCTTGGGTTTTTATTTGTTTTTTTTTTTTTGTTTGTTTGTTTTGTTTTGTTTTTGTTTTTTGTTTTTTCCCAGCTTAATTTGAGAAGTAATATAAAGAAAATTAACTAACTACATTGCATTGAGAATTGTAAAGTTATTAGATTCGAATAAAATAAACAACATATTCCGAAAACAAATCTTAAAAACTCGTATCTCAAAATATCATGGTCTTCTTTTTTTTATTCATGCAAAACATGTCCAGTTACACGATAAAACCTTGACGTGATTAATGAAAAATAACTTTATTGACTTTGTCGTTGGCTGTGGCGGACTCTGTTCCGCGTTATTCCAATACCTGTCTATGCCCACGCAAACTTTATTTTGCATAAATTCTTGTGGAAAGAGCCTTTATGCGATAAAGGAATCGTTTTCCTTAACAGGGTCACTGATGTACCGATGCTTTTCGTAAGCGGATATTCGAAACAAAGTGTACACAAAATGCATGCATTATACACTTGTTAGAAAGATAGAAAGAAAGAAGAAAAGAAAGAAAGAAAGAAAGAATGGCTGTTTTGTTTTAATCCCATTATACACAAGACTTTCTTTCTTTAGCTCAGTATCTGTACTGTCAATTTCCTATCAAACACTAAAGCACCTGGGTTACAAAAGCACTTCGCCATAGATAAAATGAATAAAGGAGCTGATGTAGCCTCGTAAAACCCCGCGAGGAGGATAATGAGAGTTTCGTTTCAATGGATATTGGTATTAAATGATAGACCGAAAAAATCTCCCGCTAATTTCAAAGCAAAGAATGATCTAGAATCCCTGGTATTACAAATTGAAAGCAAGCAATATAAAATGCTAAACCTGTCTCTTTTAACGTTTATGTTGACATAGAAGAAACTAGAGAAATGAAATGAATAAATGCGAATATTCACCGAATCGAAATATGGCGACCGATATGAATAACTAATAGAATAGTTCTACACTGCCTAGCGACTAAGGCATGAAAAATTAGATTATTTGTGAGGGGGGGGGTTTGCAGGAATTTTGGTTAAATGTAAATAATATTAATTTTTTTGGCTCAACCCTTGCACGTTTTCCCCCCGTACAGTTAGATATCTTTCTTCTAGCAGAAGAGGTTGTACGATTTTTTAATTATTTTTTTTAATTTTTTTGAGGTTAAAAGCGGTTTAAAGCGTTTTCCAATGTATGAGAGGCTAGTCAGTCGCTAATCAGTTGCACAACAATAGTTATTTAAATGGTGGCCATATTTTGATTCGGTGTACAATCAGTGACGCGGAGAAACTGGTAGCGACGGTAGATGGGGAGGACAAGAAACTTCCAGATATGAATTTTGGAATGACTATGGTAGGCTGGTAGGCTGACGTATATTAGTGGTAAAAGTGGTATATATAGCAATGTTGCAATTCTATATTATCCGGCCGCGTGTTATATATATTTTTACAATAATTTACAAATTTCTCGCGCGCTGATTGGTTATTTTTTTATTATCAATAAGAGGACAGACAGATAAAGCTGACGTCAACGAGCGCGCGCTCTTTCCGGCTTCACCTCGTGAATCCACTCTACTTTGACAATGTGATGACGCAATTTAKCGTCAATAAGAGGACAGACACATAAAAAACTGATGTCTATTTGTTTTTTACAATGACAAATACGATAAAARTTTCTCATTTTTACTGATCAAAACAACCARCGGAAAGAGCGCGCGCTCGTTGACGTCAGCTTTATCTGTCTGTCCTCTTATTGATAATAAAAAAATAACCAATCAGCGCGCGAGAAATTTGTAATTCATTGTAAAAACAGCATTTTCTATAAACATGGGAACTCTGTGTTTTCAAGCTGCAAGCTGAAATTTGGGTTTTCGCTGCCGCCAGTCAAAAATTAGAAAGGTACCGACTGATTAGGTTTGATTGCCGGCAGCGAAAAACCAACTTTCAGCTTGCAGGGGGCAGAAACAGTATAAACTAATTCTGAATGTCATCTTTATTTTAGGACCCAAGATTTAATCGGAATGTCGACCTGGCAACAGGGTACAAGACGCATAGCATTCTGTGTATGCCAATCAAAAGTCATGATGGCGAGGTAAGGCTAGCTGTATAGATACTATGTACTTATTGACTGAGTGGGAGGTCCGTACGGGAAAATATTTGGCGCGAGGTCATGTCGTACGGACCGAGCACAGCGAGGTCCGTACAAATGACTGAGAGCCAAATACTTTCCCGTACGGCCCGACTTAACTCAGTCAATAAGCATTTTATCATACGACCCTCACGAAAATAAAAATAATTAAGAAAAAGAAAGCGCGCGGATTCGAGCAGGGCCGGACGGGTTTTTCCGGCCCGCTTACGTCAACCCGTCCGGCCCCCCATCACGTGACTTTTTCCAATGGTTTTATTAGAGCGCGCGAGCAGGGCCGTACGGGTCATATGATAAAGCAGTTTTCTTATGACTGGAAACAACTCACTGCCGTATCTTTGTCTTGCAGTGACCACGATGTTTTCTAGAATTTTGATTAACGTATTTATGATTGGTCTGGCAGTGCCATGACCTTGGCGGTGACAATATTGTTCGTGTGATGTTTCGGGTATAGAGAGTAAATTCTCGCGCAATATGATTGGTCTGGCATATGGCATATGTCTTTCCGTGTCACGACCGCGTTCGTGCCGCGAGTTTTTTTTATTTTTTATTTTTTTWAAAAATCGTTTTCAAGAATATCCCAGCGAATACGTATGGATGGAGGCTAAGGCAGGTAGCTGGAACCACTGTTATCGATGCACGCATGTGCAGCAAAGATGATCTGAGTAATGAAAAGAGACGAATAAGAATTGCCAGTCAGCAATACATTCCGTGCCCGCGCGCTGTTTTTCTCTTATTTCTGAGACATTATTTGAAGAACTAAGCGGTTTTGTTCAAGAAAAGGTCATACCTCGTCCATAATGCGCTGTTGCTATTCATGTGGACATGGTAATAATAAACCTAAACTAATCCACAAATTCCACTTTCCGCCCGCGCTTTATGCACCGATTCTTGCTATTAGAGGCGGTTAATTCTTTTAACCACTCCATTTCGTTAGCACAATATAATTACTAAACTGAATATGTGGTTGGTCTAGTTAATCAGTTATGGCTCAACTTTTTAGGTGGTTGGAGTGGCACAAATCATTAACAAGAAGACCGAAAGCCATTACTTCACAGAAGTTGATGAAGAGGTAACTTATTAATAAGTGAAAACCGGTGTTTTTTGTCGTGGTCCTATTTGTCGTTCAAGATTCGAATGAAAATATCTTATACAACATCATTGCATAACTTCAAAATATTACGCGCTCTAATTGGTTAAGCAGCGTGTTCAATGAAGTGCCCATCCTATCACGAAGCGCGATGTATTTGAGTGCGCTTGTTTTATAAGAACATTATATTACATCATTTAATTTGCTAATTAATCTTGCAAGTCTTCCGCTTAAAATTATTTATATTTTATAATTATATTTATTAAAACCCTGAAACAACCTCTGGGCTGATCTAAGTCACGGCACGGCTGACTTACAGATTGAACCCTGAAACAACCTCTGGGCTGGTCTAAGTCACGGCAGAGCTGACTCACAGATCGAACCCCTGAAACAACCTCTGGGCTGATCTAAGTCACGGCACGGCTGACTCACAGATCGAACCCCTGAAACAACCTCTGGGCTGATCTAAGTCAGGGCAGGGCTGACTCACAGATCGAACCCCTGAAACAACCTCTGGGCTGATCTAAGTCACGGCACGGCTGACTTACAGATCGAATTAGAATTTAGTATATTGGGTTCTGAGGAAGGAGGAAAACAGGAAACCTTGAGCAATTAAAAATCCTCTAATCAAGGAAGAGTCCTAACAAACTTTATTCACATGCGATGCTGCGTTAATTTGTCTTTTTAGGTTTTCAGAAACTACTTGACATTTTGCGGCATAGGGATAACCAACGCTCAACTCTTCGAAATTTCTGTTCAGGAGTATAAAAGGAATCAGGTACTTTTGGGCTACCTTTAGCAAACTCAATCGAGTGGGATTGGTAAACTATTCCATTAACCAATCAAAAACATCAATGACAGTGACAGACACTAAAAAAAATCTAGTGCATTCTTCAAGGAAAACCCGAGGTTTGCCTTATATGGTATTCAAGTACCCATGCTAGACCATGAATGCACCTTTTTGACTATACGTTTAATAATTCAAATAAACGCAATATACCCCTTAATTTAGGCTATAATTTTTCGCTATTTGTTCACAGATTCTACTTCAGTTGGCAAAAGGTATCTTTGAAGAACAGTCGAATTTGGACGAATGTGTGCATAACATCATGGAAGAAGCACAAGAACTACTGAGCTGTGAACGGTGCATGGTTTTCCTGATCGATGAATTAGCCAGCAAGAATAATAAGGTACGAAGCCGTTTACGTAACAAGGCCTTACATGACATTTAAGAATAAATAGCTTGAGAATGGCTGACTCATGAATTATGGGACCATACATTGCTGATATACGTATATATATAATCTATAATCCAATAAATTCCAATTTTTTAAATGCATGCATTCCATTCACTTCCAATAATAATATTAATAATAATAACAATAATAATAATAATAATAACAATAACAATAATAATAATAATAATAATAATAATAATAATAATAACAATTGGGGAAACCTGTGACGGTATCCCTTACCTCTCATCTGCTTGTAATTCGAAGTGAGGTGAATGCTAAATAAAATTAAATTAAAAAAATAATAATCAAATGATGCTCAGAGAAAATACAATAATATAACTACCAAGTTAGGAGTAATAGAGTGTTTCAAAATGTATATTAACAATAAATATCAAATCTTTTTTTTATTTAGGGAGTCGTATTTTCGAAAGCCTTTGATTTGCATCTTGGAGCAGAGGAAGGTGATCAAAAGAGGTAACAGAATATAAATAGGAATATTAAAAGATGGGTCGTCAGCTGAGTGCTAAATGAAACCTACTGATCTCATCTAGAATCTATAGCACTTTTCATCAGTGATAGGAAAGAATTCATGTGTATATTCCTATTGCAAACATTCAACTTGCTATTTAGCTTGAAAAAACATCTACTGGACACTGGAAATGGCGTCTAACAATATCAAACGTTTATATCTAAACTACGGATAGCTGACAATTTATTTTAAGCTTTGTTACTGTCATTTTTGTTGTCTCAGTTCATCGAAGACACRCTGGTCTATGAACAGCGGTATCGCAGCATTGGTAGCAACTTCTGGACAGGTTTGTATAGAAGAAAAACATTGCCACTAGAGTGCCAGATTCTAAACTCTGATAAAACTTAGCTCTTCAGCCAATCAGAGCGCGCCTTCGTGAAAATCTATTATATAAAAACGGATAAAAAAGACGGGGGTTCCAAAATGGCCGCCACGCAGAAAAATCTGGTGTAATTGGCTTCACAAAAAGGGAATCCAAATTCAATCTTCTAACGTAAAGAACATGATTGGCTTCACAAGATCTGACAAAAGGGGGTTCCAAGGAACCCGTTGAACCCCCTGCTAAAGCACTACTAAATCTTTCAATAATTATTAGCTCTTTGTGTTTATTTTTTATATATGATTAGAATATTTCTGTTTTTAACAGGCACTAAACATCCCAGATGCTTATAATGATAGTCGCTTTAATCCAGAGGTAAGAGATACATAGAGATACTTATTAGTATTTGTCACACTAGTTTTTAGCTAGTTATCTCTTATTCTGAACGCATTGACTCTCCGCTTTCTTTGGAAATACTGAGCGTTGCGCGACGACGCTAATGACGTTTGCGCAGGACGTTACGAGCGCCACTTAACATAGAAATTTAAGTATTCTAAACCTGCTTTTTTGTCAAGGCCGATCATGCAAGTGGATTCAAGACCAGATCAATACTGTGTATGCCAATCTTTGATAGAGAGCAAAGCATTGTTGGTAAGCTAAGTTCGTAATGCGCATGTCATAACTTGATTGATGAACTTGATGAACTGCTGTTCACACTACGACACCAAGGAAAAATCAATGAATTATAACAATGATAATAATGATGATGATGATGATAATAATAATAATAATAATAATAATAATAATAATAATAAAGATTTTCTTTTTTGCAAATTACTAAAGATTTGGTTGATGTTTTTCGATTTTTTTATCATGTATCATTTCAAGGTGTTGCTCAACTACTCAATAAGCTGGACGGAAAACCCTTCAGCGATAACGATGAAAGCTTGTTTGAGGTTAGTCACGTCGTTCGTTTGCAAGAAAAGACCCTGGGCACGACCTGTTGCTCTGAGCAAGTCACCTATGATATCATTATTAACATGATAATAACTTTTCTTTTATGTTTTAGGCATTTGCAATCTTCTGTGGCTTAGGAATCCACAACACTATATTGTATGAACAGGCTTGCAAGTTGCTTGCAAAACAGAGTGTTGCTATGGAGGTATAGGAAATCTATGTATTTTTAGTTCATTATCCATCTATCCATCCCTCCATCCCTCCATCCATTTCTTCCTTTCCTTCATTTATTCATTTATTCATTCTTCTACTTTTCATTTGTTTAATTTCTAGGTCCTATCGTACCACGCCAGCGCACAACCAGCAGAGGTTTCACGAATCATGGTAAATATCAAAAGGCGAAAGGGTGTTCCCTTCACTCTGTGCCAACTAACATCGACTTTATTATGAATAAAACGAACATATAAGTTCCCTCTAAAGGTTTTCTCTACATAATATAGAAATAATTGCAGGTTCTGCCCTTTTTAGGCTATAAAATAAGCAGTTTTGCGTTATGCATGTCACACTATTTGTGAATTTGATCTTGCGCCATGACGCAACGAGATTAAATATTGAATGTTCTCAGTCAGAATCACCAACTAATTTGCTTATCTTTTTGTCATCGTTCGTTATTATACTATTTATTGGGGTGGCAGCTTATTTTCCTTGTCAGAAAATGCAGAAATTGCGCAATAGTGCCCAGACCCCTTCACGGCACAACCCACTAGACTTTTGCGGGCATAAGATACAAAGATCCAAGTGCAGTAAGTGTTCTTGTCGGCAATAAATATTTTTTCACTTAAAAAGATTGCCAGATTGTTGAAGATTTAAATGTAATAAAAAACTTAACGGATCTTAAAAAAATCTTATGTGGATAAGATGGGATTCGAACCAATCCATAAAAATGAAAAAATAAAAAATCGACTCCACTTTGCCATACCCCCGAGACATCCGCAGAGCTGAGGCGGCGTATGGACTTCGGACCTGACGGCAATTAAATCCTTCTGCCCTTGGGTGTACGAATTATGCAAGAAAATGTTCTAGCCGAAGCATCAGGGAAGAGACCAGCCGGCCCCCAGACCATATCGGCTAATCCCTTGCATCTCTGCCACGCACGGAATCGGTTGAAAAAATAATGTTAAAAAGTCTAGTCTATTTGGTGCAATGTTTTCACGGCTATTGTTATGCTGATTCACCTGAAACCGTGGTCCAGTGGATAAATCGTCTTCAATCAAGATATAATGAGTCAAGCTCGCCTGAGGAGGGTTAGCATTTGGATGGGTGACCTATACGTTATACCTACTCACGCGTTTGTCCCTTTTTCCGTTTTTTTTTTTTTTTTTTTTTT